GAGCTGATAGAGCTGGAGGTGAGGATGGTGAGATGCTGGGCTCATGCACCCACAGTGTCCACCAGGAGGAACTCTCCAAGGTCCTGGGGTTCCGGAGAAGCACTTAGAAACCACGCCTGCTACCTGCGGGAGAGCTCCCCGTGCTGGTCTGCTCAGGACAGGGATCTGGGGCTGGTCTCCCTGGAGTGCTCCCAGGAAGGCTGAGTGCTCTCATCTCTGACTTGGAGGCCAGGAGGGAAGCCCAGCAGCTCCCTGCGCTTCACTGCTGGGAGAGGGGACGCAGCTGTTTGTTCTGGCCACACTCCTGGGAGCTGGGCCCCACATGCTTCCTGCAAACTTCCCTGAGATGGGTTTTCTCCCCAGTTTTTGAGCTTTCCTTTGGGATAATAATAATTTCCCGTGGAAGAGACATGACTATTAATTTGGATAAAATATGAAGATTTTTCAAGATACCAGATTAGATTCTGAAACACAGCAAAATACCACCCATCTATTCGGATGTGTGTGTGCACCATAATCTGTTTTGTTTCCTTTAAATTTTGTTTTCAGAGATTTCCACTTGGCTTAAAGAGTTTTAATGCTGCTATCTGTCATCACATGTGTGAGTCACAGTGCTGGGAGGAGATTCTGTAAATGCTGTTAGATTTCTAGTAATCAAACTCCACTTTACATTCCAGAGTCAGGAATTAGAAGAATTTTAAATACATTTAAAAAATCAGAATCATCAAGATCGGGCTTAGTGAATGAGGAAATTAAAATTAGGAAAAGATATCACCAGCTTCTAGAAAATTTCTCAACTGTACTCTTCTCTCCTGTTTTTGCTACTTCAAATTTACTCCAAATACATAAACTTCCCTTCCTTAGGTCAAGAACAGCTTCCAGACTGGGTATGGGAGGGGTGGAAATTAAAGAGAATGTGTAGGGATTCAGGCCTGAGATCCCACTGAGAACACATCGCACAACTTCAAAGGTGTGAGAAATACTGTCTTTCAGAGTGGAAAAATTGCCACTAGAAAGGGACAGGAGGGCCAAAGAGTTGGTCTCAAAACCTGGAGGACTAAGGACATACCTGGGACTGCAGTGAGGACAGAGGGTGGGATGCATGAGCATCTGCTCTCCAGATCTCAATCGGAGGGTGACAAGAATGATCTAGGGTTGGGTTCCTTTCTTCCCCTAGGGACAGGAAGTCCACCAGTCATTTGGAAATGGAGTGTAGGATCAACTGCAACACCAAGATGCGGCAGTCAGCACTGTGATGCCTGTGAGCTGGCCCTGCCCCTGCCCCTGCCCCTGCCCCTGCCCTTGCCCCTGCCCCTGCCCCTGCTGCCACCAGTAACTGGGAACCACTGGTCCATGGAACACCACTCAGGAGAAGGTGGACATCTGGAGTGGGCAGGGGTATACTCCTTCGAGTCTACAGTCTGCCTCACAGATAATCTAAGCAGTGATTCACACTTCCATGGATCAGCTCACCCAGGTCCCTCCAGAGCTTCATAACTATTTCTGATGAGAGGAGAACACCATGGGCCAGAAGCAGGAGTCAAGTCTTGCTTTGCCCAAGTTAGTGTGAGCCACCCCTACATGTCCAAGTGGAGGGAGCTCAGAGATGGTCAGGTGTGAGACACCTGCACGATGTCCCGGTGGGGAAGGCTAGGAGGTAGTTAGGTGTGAGACACCTGCATAGACATCTAAGTGGAGATGGCTAGGAGATGGTCATGTGTGAGGCACCTGCACAGACATCCAGGTGAAGTCTAGGGTGCTGGTGACTGGGCACATGTGTGGCTTAACACCAGAGATGTATGCTGGGGGACATCATAAGATAGACAGTGTAACAGTCCATGGCCTGGATGAGGTGCTGGGGGAGAGAGCTACAGAGGCGTGGGGAAGGGACGGTGCTTTAGATTTGCAGACGGGTGGCGGTAGGGCAGAGGAGGAGCAGGCTGTGAGAGGTCTGCCATGACACATTCATGCAACTGGTGTTTCAAGGTGGGCAAGAGAAGCCGCTGCTGAGACTATGAGAGGTGAAGACCAGTTTTCCAGCTCTGAGGCCAGGTGACCCTGGCAGTGGACAGTGACATTGTCGTGGATCCTGACTGGAACACATGGGGAAGGACGGACTTTGGGGATGCAGACTCGTTCTGGATAAGCGTCACTCTGAATGGAAGAAGGAGGCTGAGAAGGGGTTTCTGCCGACAGCCTGGCGTCAAGGGAGGCGTAGGCAATTTTCCTAAGAGGGGAACACGACCGTGTCCTTGTCTGCTGACAGCAATAACTCAGCGAGGAAAGCGTCCAACCATGACAAGAGGGGTGGTGCCAGAGTGGCCGGCTGGTGCCCCTGCTCACTGCTACTGAGGAAGAGGTGAGGGGTGTGTCCTTGCAGCTGGCGGAGGTAGCAAACAGGCTTTTCCTGCCATGAAATGCCACCAAGGTCACAGGCTATGCTGACGACGTGGCTTTGTGTGCACACGTGTATGCATGTGTGTACACAGGAGCACCGGCGCCGGGCTGAGTCTCTGGCATGTGGCAAGAGAAGAGTAACAAAGCAGACGCACGGAGAGAGGGACTTGTCATCTGTGTTGAGGGTTCCTCTGAGAACCGGGGTGAGGAACATCAGGTGAACTGCGCAGCGTGGCACTGAGGTGACACTAACCTCAGTAAGCGCTCCCTGACACCCAGAAGTCCAGGAGGGGTGGACAGAGACGCATATCTGCAATAAAGTGCAGTAGTTCCCGAGGGCCCCGAGTTGCCTCAGTGCTCACTGACCAATGAGAAGAGTTAGTGATCGGAACAAGAGATCGGCACAGACTACAGAGACATGGGTGTGGTCAGGGTTGCGAAACAGAAAATGAGACTTGAGGGACGTCGGCCTCAAAAGACCAGAGAGAAAGTCCATCCATGGCAGGAACCCGCAGGGTGTCAGGTTCACAGGGCTGGGCACTCCCTGAGCGCAGGAGTCTGCTTTGCTCACGGCTGTGGCTTTAGTATTTCACCACTACCTGCCACATGGGAGGCCAACAGCAAGTCCTGAATGAGTGAGAGAACGAACGAATGGTGCAGTAAACTGATGGGAATGGACCCTCTCCCAAACTGCATGGAGGCATAAAATGTGAAACACAGCACAGCTTGAAGAGCACAGGGCCCAGCTGGAAGGAAGGAGGGGATCTCCAGACGCCCAAATCAGGGGAGGTCAATGCTAGTCAGGACTGGGGGCCAAGAGTATAGCAGTTCTCAGAAGGGTGAGGACCGGGGGCTTGGGTTACCACATGCACACGCAGATGGCACATATGGCCGTGGGGCTGGGGGTGAGGGGAGGTGGCACTGAGACCCCACATTAAGCCTAGGACTTTAAAAGCTGCTTCACTTGAGAACAGGGACTGGGACCAAGCCACCCGCCTGCTGCAGAGGGCAGAGGAGGCTGAGCCAGACCTGTGGCTCAAGCCAGGGTTGTGCAGAAACTTCAAGGTGGAAAGTTAATACGGAGGTGGATGCTGAGGCATGGAGAGAAAATGCAAAACATGCAGAAACTGGGCGGGCCCACACCTCCCTGCGGAAGGTACCACGATTACAAAGAAGTCACAAACCCGCTTTCCTCCTAGAGAACACACTTCCCAAGCGGGCCTGGTGCTCCCACGGCTTCCAGCCTTTCCCCAATGGGGTTACAACGAGAGGACTGGCCCGTGTCCACCTGGGTTTGCTCCCAATCTTGGGGCATGCAGCTCTGGAACCTGGAGGCTGCCCTGCCGGGCCGGTAAGCAAATGGGGAAGTAGGGCGCATCTTGTCCACGCTGAGACTGACAGCAGAACCCAGCCCTTCCCCTGAGGACCAACCCCAGCCGAGGTGGCCCTCTCTGCCACCCGTCACCACACCCCTGCAGATAAGGACGGCACTCCTGGCCCCGAGACGCTTAGTCCCTCTCTCACCCTGTGCTAGTGCTGAAGACGCAGCACACTACCGGGGATGGCAGGATGCGCAGGTATCAAACGTTCCATTAACCGGGCTGGGGTGATGTGGCTCAAGGAAGTACCAAGATTCTGGTATCTGTGAGGCCCTCGGGGGCCTGCAAATTCCCACCAGTCACTGGTGGTGTGTCCACCCTGCTGGTCAGTCTCAGCACGCATCCTCTCCGGCCGCTGGGCTTAATACGCGTACACAACACACATGCTCGTTTGAGTACAGTGACCAATTTGGCAAGTTCTCCTTTCAAGATCTCGAGATCAGCACTGGGAAAGAGGAGACAGCCCCAAAGCAGCGGCTCATCTTTAAGTGGCTCAGCAAGGACATTTCTGCCACACAGAGAAGTGCCCACATAATAAGCCTTCCTCAATAGCTAATTATCTTGAGTGGCCAGTGCAATGAAATTTCAAACAGAGAGCGAGACTGGTTTGGTCCACGCAGACTTATGCATGGCCACATGCTTGTTCTGAGAGAAGTCAGCCTCAACGCTGTGGACTGGTCATCTGAGCGTCACACAGCTGGGAGTGTGGTCACTGGTCTCGGGGTAGCTGCCACCGCCCACTGGTGGCCTGGATGGTGGTAGAGTGTGTGGTCAGGAACCCACACAGCCACAAATGGGTGTGTCAGGGCTGGGGACTGTCACACACAGTGTGGGGGCACTCTCTCTTTTACGCCTTTGCCCCCCCCAACACCTGGGAGGAAGGAAGTGTTTCCCCAGACCACTCCCATCAACTCCACACCCCCCAAACAGCTGGATAAGCAAGGGTGTGTTTTCTGAAAGTTTCTCTGCTTTGCTTCTTTGCAACTGATCTTTCAAGGAGAGACACAGATTTGGATCTCAAAGGCCACCCAAAATGTTAAATCTGCAGCACCTTTAGCCAAAATCTTCAACAACAGGAGGACCCACCACACCGACGTCTGCTCCTGCGAAGGAGCATCAGCACTGTGTCCGCGCAGTCAGCCCACGCGCCCCCTAACCCCGAGACACCATCAGAATAGGACGCCTCCAAGGACGCATACGTGAGGCCTCCCTCACGCTACTCACCGGCCCGGTCCCGCTCTGGAGGATCCTCAGTCCAGATAGCTCCTCCAGCTGGCTCTTGTGGTCAGCTGTTGGGAAAAATGAAGAAGCAGAGGGTCATTGTGGGGAGGGGGCAGGTCTCCTGACATAACTGGACATGTGCCCGCGTGGCTGCTGCAGCGGGGCCACCGTGGTGCCAACAGCCTGGTGTCCTGCTTAGCACGGGTCCTGCCTTGGGCCACCGCGTGCCGTCAGCCTCAGCCACAAGAAGAGGCCACACCAGGCCTAGTGAGGAAGCGTAGGTGAACATGCTTTCCAAACTGTAAAGTCTCACTTTAGAATGATGTAATAACAGCCATTATCCAGTCGCTGGGAAACAGCGTTTGATTAATTAACATCACATGTTGATGAAAGACGCCCCTGAGGCAGAGCTGGATTTTTGCTATTAGTGCTGCAGTTTTGATTCCCCTTACTCCCGCCCCTTCAAGAAGCAGCCAGGATTTAGCTCCGGTGAAAGCTGCACTCCAGTTTGCTGCTGACTTTGAATGAGGAAGACTCCCAGCAAATGAATCCTACTCAATGTCACACCTGTGCAAGTGCGTCTTGGAAACAATCAGTGGTGTCAATGACAAGGCAGGTCCTGCGCGGAGGCGGCGAACCCATCTGCCCGACTTCACAGACAGGAAGTGTGTCACCAGGCAATTGACCCTAGCTTACGGTTCTGTAGGAATATCATTTTGGATAAAGCCCCTTTTGGATAAAACCACTTTGGAAGTGAAAGCCAGAAAAAATAGAATTTTATTGCAAACCGCATGAATGAAGAGTGCACTGCAATTGTGATTAATATGGAAGGAGAAAGCAAGAAAACAGCAATCACATCCTCCCTTATTGTCATGTACCTACATTAACCTTGGGTAATGAAATATCTTTCAGAGGGATACGAATGAGACCCTGTCCCAGCCTGGCATCCCTGCCTTCCGGGCCTTCCAGTGTCTTCCAGAAGTTTTCCCTTTGACCAAAGGGCATTATTTTTCACACAGAGGTAAGTGTGGCTGTACTGAGAGTGAGGCGACCTAAAGCAGTGTAGGTTGCAACAAAGGGCTGCAGAGCCTCAAGGGCGGGCAGGGAGACCCGTCCAGGTGCAAACCGTGAATAGCAAAGAGAGTATTTTTAAAGACACAGAACATAAAGCAATCCTTTTAGTGGTCTCTTGTAAACAAAGGAAACATTTCACTGAATGGCAAGCTATTTGGGGCTGGGACAATAGCGAACTGTTTCGAGCAGGTTGGGGAACAGAAGAGCATAAAAATGGAATTAAAACGGTGGCAGTCTTTGCAATACAGCAGTGAGATTTCAGGGTCAGGAATGAGAAAAAACCTTCCAATCGATAACCAAGTAGAATAGCCCAACCCAGGGGTTAACAAGCTTTTCCTAGAAAGGGTCCAACAGTGAGTGTCTCAGGCGGGGCAGCCCTGCTCCCTGGCTCTTCCACCCTGCCCTGCAGAAGGCCCGAGGCACACGCTGGACAGTGTGGCACACCCTGGAGGGCCGTCTTGTGTTCCTGTAAAACTATTCCCAGAAGGAGACAGCATCTCCCAACAAGGCCACAGAGCCTGGCCACATCTGGAAGGCACACTGGCTGCTGGACACAGCTGGTTGGAAGCTGCTCTTGCAGAGCGGGGACAAGGACCGTGAGGAGTGCTGCTTTGTAACCACCATGCTCCTGGGGGCTCTTGTGGGAAAAGTATGGCAGGGTGCTCTGGAGCAGTGAGAGAGCTCTGAATATGAGCATGCTAGGAGCTCGTTCACCTGCTGTCCTCGGTACTTTTCTCTGGTTGCTGAGACAAAACACCCAACAACCAAAGTTAAAGGGGGAAAGGTGTAATTAGCTCACAGTTTATAGAGGTTTCAGTCCATAATCGGCTGGCTCCAAGGCAGGGTGGCTTCACAGAGAATAGTTCATGGTACCCACAAGATAGCAAAAGCAACCAGGGAAAGAGACAAGACTTTCTGCCCCTTATGTTGTATGCAGGCTACTCACCGCGATGCAGGTGTAGCACTCACACCTTTAATCCTAGCCAGAACTATGTCAAAGAATCAGTGCACTGATTTGCTAATCATACACCCTTCATCCCAGTGTCACACACTGTAGATCCAGCCACCTCTGAAAAAGCCTAAGACTGCATGAGGCTTTTGGGGGACAATTAGACACAAGCCATATGCTTGCTTATTCCCAAACTGTCCTGATGTGTTGCAAGAGTGATTTGTGGTGAGTCTGAGGAGCTTCACTCAGTCAACACACACTATCCCAAGCTACCACAAAGCCTGTGTCCTGGTGTGACCGGCGGCGGGCACCTGTCCTCACGGCAACCTTCAGAGCCCAGAGACAGGGCTGTCCCTGGTGAGGTGCCCCCGTGCACAGCCCAGGCTGGCCAGGAAGTGCCCAGCCCCTTCGCTCCTCTTTGTCAACCCATGACGACACCACAGCGCTGATGCCCACCGAGGGGTAGAAAAAGAAAAGTCCTGTCCAGTTAATGTTCAAGTTTCAGCTCCAAGCTATTTTTTTAGCCAGGTTCTGGACGTTAGGCTGGAGTATGAGCGGAGGCCTGCAGCCTGGATGGGACAACTGGACACTGGTCCCAGGAAGGCAGAGAGCAATGTGGGCAGTCCATTGTTGCCTTCCCGGAGACAAAAAGGCCTTCTAAACACAAAAAGGAAGTCTTTAAAATTAAATTCCCTAGATGAAGGATATGCAAATTACCTGAAGAAGCGGAGCCCTGTGATGTTCTCACAATTCTGCAATAGCCTATTTAATTAGTATTTTAATTTATCAGAATAATTCTTGGCACTTGACAATTTATGCAGCATTCCATATAATTAAGCACGTAGCTCAGCGGAATGGTTTTGCCTCCCCTCTCTGTCCCTACTATTCTAACCTGAAGGAGTGTGCAGAGGTCTCCTCTGTGATCTAAATGACAATGGAGCAACTTAATGGCTTTGCTCCTTAGAGCTGCAGTGTGCAGAGGGGGCCCTCGGCTGGCGTCACCAGCCACCCCTGAACAGCTGGTCGTGCCACGCACCCACGCATCCCCACACCCTGATTCTGGACAGTGTCAGTCATTACCTGGATGATTTGGGGGCCCCGAAGGACCCATCAGCCCCCACCTCAGCTTGGCCTCACAGACAGTGGCCAGCTCGGCCAATCTCCATTTCTCCTGGTATTTGGAGGCCGCTCATGGCCTGGACAGGCAGCCTGGCTAAGGGGAGCTGGTCCAAGGCTGTGGCTGATTCAGTGCCTGGGGCCCAGGTCACTCTCTGCTCTTCCTTTTCTTTCTTTTTTCTTTTTTGAGACAGGGTTTCACTATGCAGTGCAGGCTGGCTTTGAACTTGTGGCAATCCTCCTGCCTCAGCCTCCCAAGCGCTGGGATTACAGGCGAGCACCAGCACGCCTGGTCTTGCTCCTCCTTTTCTACATGGGACCCCAGGTGGTCACAGAGCAGTGGCCAGGAGGGCTCTGTCCCCAGGGCTTGGGTAAGCAGCCACACCTCCCTGCAGGAGGGACCAACGGGGCTCCCATTTCCTCAGTGCCCTTGGGTACCCCCCCTGCAGCCCCTTCCTCACACCTTCCTCTCGAGGACCAGGGACAGAACAGCATCTGGTGATGGCCACATTTCCCCTGGATCTGCCCACATTTCTCACTTTGGTGGCTGGGGTTGAATCTTAAACTCACTTCAGAACCTGGCACTTAGAGCGCAGTGTGGCTGCGAGGCGCGAGGTGGTTTCTGAGAGCTTCACATGTAGGTCTGTGAGCCTCCTGGGGTACAGCTGACCCCCGCATGGAGGGTGCAGACTCAGGCCCAAGTGGACACCAGAAGCCACCCACAGCCCTGGGCACCACACACTCTGCCTTCCCCCTACACATGCACTGGTAGTGAGGTGTCATTACAGACGGGCACGGTAAGAGGTGAGCAACAGCGACCATGATAAAACAGGACCGTTACAGCATGTATCACAGTGGGCCCTGCACTCACTGTTACTGGTCCCAGGAAATGCGACAGGCACCTAACACAACAAGGACCACCCAAGCCGTTCATGTCACCAGGCTACTGACAACATGTTCATGTTCCAGTACCAAACCAGCTGTGGGTACCAGGACAAAATTTTTGCATCGAAATGTGTCAAGTACCAAATTCCATGAGATTCAAAGCAGTTGGGGACTGGGTTCTGAGGGCAGTGGAAGGTACAGAACTCAGTGTCTCTCTGTTGTACTGCAGATGTCAGGAGCTTCAGTGCATGATGCTCTCCTCAGTGAGCAGAGAAGTCCATTCACCTATCCATCCATCCATCCACCCACCCATCTAC